CCTCTCAAACTGCGATGACTACGGGGAAGACACAAGCGGGTTGGAAAACGGGAGTCACTGTACCCCTATTCAATAAGGGAGACCACAAGGAGTGCTCCAATGTAGGAGCATTACGTTACTGAGCCTACCAGGTAAAGTCAACGTAACGGTGCTAGAAAGGAAGTGCCGCGGAATAACTGACTCCAAGGCACAAGAAGAGCAGAGTGGCTACCGGCCAGGTCGCAGCACCTCTGACCATATATTTACCCTTAGCCAGATTGTTGAGAAATCGTGGGAGTACGTCCGTCCGGTGTACATGTTTCGTTGACCTACAAAAATCCTAAGATCAAATCCCACGCAACTGCCTGTAGTGATGGCTTAGAGCATACGGGATAGACTGTCAGCTGCTAAGGGCCATCGAATCAGTGTATTCTGACAGCAGATGGTTCGCCAGAGTAAATGGCGTTAAGTCGAAGGCTGCGCCCTGTCCTTTCTCCTGTTTGTGTTGTACATGGATAGAATAGTCAGGAGTAGCCAAGGCGATGAGCGTATCGGTGTAGGAGATGTGAAGAAGAGAAGGTTGCTCGTTTTATAGACATCTTCTGAAACTGATATACAGTAATCCTTAAAAAGTTTCGCAGCGGAGTGCGACGTGACTGGCTGCGTGTGAACACATCTAACACGAAAGGCCTAGTGCTTTCTCGTTCTTCTGCCCGTTGCTCTCTTCAGATTAACGGAGGCAGTGAAGTAGGTGGAGAAGTTCAAGTAACGTCAAGAGTCGTATTTACTAGTGATAGTCAGTTGGAGGAAGCGATCGACTGGCGATTTGGAGTAGCCAATGACGATCTGCATGAAGAAACCCGTTCCACTGTGACTAAAGCAGAGCTCAGTCTGAAAACTAAGCTCTGGGTGTTCAAGTCGATCTTTATCCCCATGCTTTCCTACGGTCATGAGTCGTGGACCATAAGTGAAAAGCTTCAAACCCGGGTACAAGCTGCTGAAATGGGCTTTCTTAAGCGGCTCGCTGGCCTTACGCGTCTGGATATGGTCCGGAATACTGACATCCGGGAGAGCTGCGATGATCTGGGCACGCTTTGCGAATGCCTCGAGAAAGGAAGACTAAGCAACATTTTGTTCTCCAACCGACCGTAGAAGGGCTAGGGGACGGCCAAGAAAACCTGGCGCAAATATATGGAAGAAGTCTGTTCCGGACTCCAGTTGTCGTTTGCCGAAACTCAGACTCTGGCTGAGAATCGGGAACGTTGGAAGCTTTGTCTGACGAGTCTGCCTTTGCGACCCGAAAGAAGCGGCCATGGAAAATGAAGAAGAAAACCATGTCAAATGTAGAATGACGGCGGTTACCTACAGCTACAGCTTCGTGAGAAACCGGCTGATGTGTTGGTGTTAAAATTTTATGAACCCGACGTCTCGATAACATAGACAAAGTGGTGTAGTGCATGCTGTAGTATATTACTGCTGCATTTACGACAAACTACATTCTAAAATCAATCATGATAAACCAAGATAAAAACAAACTTTAAAGACAGGAATAGAAGTTGATTCCGAAGAAGGAAGAACTTCGCTGACGAAACTTGCAGATATCGAGAAAGAAGAACGTTTCTGGACTGAAAATGCAACCTTATCGAGTTTACTGTTTTAGACTTTGTTCCGAATGCTTTAGGCGACAAGAAGCTGGAAAGGAGCTAGGAGAATCAAATGCGTTGCCAGTTTAACACATCAGATTAAGCAGACTGTAAACTTGAAACAATTCCGGGACAACCTACTTGAACAAGTGCTGCTTTGCAATACGCAGGGCACTGATAACTCGTGGTTTTCGGCGAGTGTTCAATTCCATCAGAGTAAGGTTTGCCCGGAGCATGGCGGTCACTTGATCAAGATCCGCTGCTGTGCCAGCACCGCACGCACTAAAAAGCAATGTAGCAAGTGACTAGTGATTACCGCAGCGGTGCCTCACAATATAGAGTCAGATAAGTAGTGCAACTTAATGCAATGCTTGTCAGCGATTACTTGGCCATTGGTGGCGCGCGAATCGGCACCGAGAACGACACCATCCTAGAATTAAAAGACATGAAAGGAAAATGGACAACGACTTTATAAGGCAGCAGAATGATCGACAATAAGTTAGTAAACGCTGACTTTTAAAACCTGCTTAAATTCGCATATGATAAACCCGCTTCTAAATATGATCAGAAGGCAAATCTCAAAAATAATGTTAATACAGTTCTGACTGCACGAAAAAGTGTTTTCTTAGAAACTGACTGGTGTTTAGTCATGGCTAAGAACGTTAGACTATGACAGATCGTGGTTTCATGTCGCGAAAACTCTGTTCCGCACAAAAACAGCCATTTTGAAGGGTTGTCAGCAAGATAGCTTTTACCGTATCTAGAGATAATCACCAACGACAATGCCGACTGAATTTGCATTGTCTCGAGTTATTTCATTCTGTGGAAGGCCAAAGGCTTTTAAGGATCGCAAGAAAAATCACAGCCCCTTCCCAGTTTCTTCGAGTTCAAAAACTTTCGTTGTCGAAAATATTCGTTTTCAAACAGCGTTTTGAATTTCTCTGTACATCGATCATTGAATAAGAAACTGATCCATACCTAGTGCCTCAATCACATGGAAAATCAATGATTGAGCCTAAGCTAAGAACCTTTCTATTTTTACCATCAATGCACACTACTGGTCCTACAATGAAACCTTTCTAAGACAGCAGCTTGCGCAGAGAATTTTTTGGCACTGAAAAGCTATATTTTTGAGATATCTGATTTAAACTACTTCCAAAAGATATATAAGTGACTCGCATTTCTCATGATGAGTGGTATTTGCACCTGCATTGATTTCTCTGGAGAAACCGTTTAAATTCTTAAAACAGCCCAGCCAACCACTTGAAATTATTAAATTTACGTCTAGTTCCAAAAGTATCGCTGAACATATGCATTTACGCATTTGCATCTGCCGTTCTCGGCAAGCACTTCTCGAAGTCGCATTAACCGTTTTTCATTTTTCAAGTGTAGTGGACCTTAAATTTTCACTCCATTCACTTCTATTGACTGCGTCTACATTTAGACCAGTCACTTAAAACTGAAACTATATTGATCTTATATTTTTCGACGCCTTTATTTTAGTAGCATTTTATAAATTAACCACTTTGAAAATGTAGAAAAATGTTACAGTATTTTGTACATTCTCCTCTGCAGAATTACTACACCGTAAGACTTCTTTTCAATATTCACTCTGCGTGTGTGCGCTGATATACTTGAAGCAGCAGAAATACGCAGCCTATAAAGCTACTAGTAGTTCAAGCGAAATCCAGGAAAAAAAGTTCAGTCGCAGTTTTTTCATGGGCGCACATGGCAAGTAATCTGGTCCTTACGGCCGCCGCATGAGTTGTTGCAACGTTGGGCAAAGTACCTTTACAAATTCAGCAGCTTATTCAGAAGTAAATCGCTCTGTAGATTTGTTTTCTAATCAGGGAATAACTATGTACAAAATGAAAATTCAGTCAGTACTGAAGACGATGGAAAAAGAACCAATAAACAACATAAATTTACAAACATTGCAAAATAAAAACGTGTTTAATGTCATCTCCAAAACGAGACCGCTTTATCGGATAGAAATACTAACACTCTTCTGGCAGAAATGGCATAAAATTCACTAACTAAAAATTCAACTAAACTACGATGCAATCAAAAGAAAAAACTACAGCCGCTAAGAAACAATAATTTCTGTGGTAAATGGAGAGAGAGAATCTATTTACAAGATTCAAGACGAACAGTGGAGGAAGTGAGGAAAAATGATATTTAAAGACAGATTAAATGTTCCTGAAGATAAACATACCAGAATCTGGTCTGCTCTAGCTTCATATATTATCTCCAGTGAACGAGCAGCCAAAAGTAACCATGCAATACGACTTGTAGTCACCGATAATTTTGGAAATAGGTTACGAGGCCATCAGTTACCAGCCGTGTTAAAGACGTCGCACTGCACCTAGTTCTTCATAATTCACCATACGTCCGTATCCTTGACAAACCGTGTCGCGTTTTCGACCGTCAGGCTGCTTACCACATCGCGGAGGAAAAGATTCACGACTATTTGTTTGTCGAATGATCTTACGAAAACTAACATACCCAATATATCTTCGCATTGCTCTCTAACACAGTTACCCTCGTTTGCCTGGTTTCGCATTTCTTTGAAAATCACCTAGTAGAAATCTCTCAAGCGAAGAGCATCATGCATGGTTGTGCCTGGAACAGTGCAAATGAACAGCTTTAAGTAACTACATTTCATATCTGACATATTTAAGCGCTACATTCAACGCAGCAAGTACAGAAACCCGCCGACCAGAGAGAGACTTAGCCACAATTCTGATAATACACCTGATGGGAAGAAATGCATAAATTTAGAAAGACAAGTGCTAACGAACTGTTCAAATTAAACGGCTCTGAGTATTGCAATTGCCCAATAAGAAAAATTTCGAATCATCGCTGTTTCAGGACTGCTTCTTGAATGGCTCAAGGCTCAAATATTAGCGGGATGCTGTTTATAACAGTGTACGGACAGAAAAAGTAGAAAAAAAGGATGTCTCGCAAAGATACCGTTCATTTACTATTGCTGGCGCGAAACACAAAAATGCCTTGCTGCCATTCAGAATATGACTTTTTCGGCGAAATCGTCAGATGAAAATAAGGAACTCTGAAATTTACGACCGCTTTGGCTTGACTGTAATGCAGTGTCGCTGACTGCATAATATACAAAAGGGATAGATTCGTCCACTTAGAATGTGCAAATGTTCAATGGAATAAGACTTGGAAGGTTGCACAATGCTTCTGTAATTTCGCCTGAGATATTCACCATTTGTGAGAACAGTTCAACAGACTTATGATTAAGACTGTTCTGTAAGTCTGTCTGATTTGAGGAAAGCGAGCTATTGCTGGTTGTGCTGCAGGTGTGAGAGGACGACGAATGAACAAAGCTGAAGCTTATGAGAGCAAATGAAGATGGGCCAAAGAAACCTGGGATGAAACAAACATTTCCACTGTAAAACCGGCATCTCAGCAGGTAGGATCGGCATTTTCAACAATTAAACTCGTTCACCGCACAAGTTCCAACGTCAAAATAGTCGGATAGGATATTCCTGCACTCGTACAACCGAAAAAACATTTTGCGGATCCAGCAGCATCTGACACCTTAATGACTGCCAAAAGCTGCGTCGCCGCATACAACGCACAATTCGTTGCCAACGGCATACGACTCAATTGCAAAAGAGCCTTCCACCATCGTGGCATTTTCAGTGGTTAGCGGAGGCGGGAGATCGGTGTCTTGCTCAAGAAAGTCTGTGATAGGTCCCTCGGAAACTGAAGCTCTCTCCTCCTTTATGGTGGGTAGAATGGTAAAGGAAGGACCAGGCGGGGTGATACGACACTATCTAGACGGAATTTGGCGTTTCCTCGTGTGGAATGCGCCAGAGATAACGACTGTTTTAAAACTTTCGATTCGACCAGTCAACGCCAAGTAATCAACTAAAACTGAGACGAAAGCAAGAACTTTTAAGAAACTGGAACCTATATTTCGTAAATTTAAAGCTGGCGTTGATTTTAAGTTCGCCATCTAGTGGATCAAGGCGAATTGCGGTTGGAAGATAAACGCATCAAACAGTATGATCCTATGCATCGCAAGTTCTGGCACCCAAACCCAATTTTGAAAGAACATGAGATGCGAGTCAAACCTTTAAGCAAGTTTCTTCGTCACTGTTTGATTTAACAGTTGTTATTGGTACCCCATGGTATACCACTTTTCATCGGATAACGTCGTCTATAAGTACTCATAGGCAAAAGCTTTGTTTTAATACTCATAGGGTTATTGCTTCCGATCAACTGATGATGTGACTTTCCGTTTTAAATAAATTAATGAAAAGTCATATTTGTTGTTTAATCGTGTAAGAAAATAGCATTTTGAACAAGTTGAAATGTTGATGCTGAAGTAAATTAATGAAGCCTGATATCTGAAGAACTGGACCACAAATTCAGAAACTTTAAAGTAGAACAACATTCTGTGCTGGATGCAATTTCAGTCCTGCGTATATGTTGACGAGAACGACTAAAAGTACCTAAATTACAGCCTCACGGTTACAGCGATGTTAGCCTCTATGGTAGCAGCAAACGCCAGCATAAATTCCAGTTTGACTAATAAGACAGTGATAACCAGCGCTATACAGCTTACATCACAACTTTCAAGCAAATTTATCAGAAAAAATATAAAGCAGGAAGGTAGGCACTGCTTGAATATATTGCTTGCATCATTAGAAATATCCTATGAACAAAAGCTAACGCTGTTCAGGTTAAAGTTTACCTTGGCAACAACTTAAAACTGTTTCATTAAAAGGGCATCAAAAGCTTAGTTTTTTAGTCACCTTAAACAGCGTTCCAGCAATAGTGGTACCAGTCGACAGCGCCTTCGGAGGTATAATTCCCATTTTCTTCAGTGCGGCATTTCTAACACCACATTTCCAGTTCGCTATTTAAACGTTAAAGAACACATTTACCTTCCATAATTGTCGAAGCAGAAGCCTGACGACTTAAACAAACTTTCCAAAGCTGGATCCATCGAATTTAAAGTCTAAATTACAAATAAAATAAAAATGTCCTTAGATACATCATAAATATAACAGCAAAGCGGACCACAGAAATGACAGCGCGGAAATTTTTGACATTTAGCAGAATTTACTCTAAATCAAACTTGAAGCAATTCTGCGCAGTGAATTTCCAAAGACATAACATTTGAAAGCCCAGATAAAAACGTTCGTTCCATACAGAATTACGAAAGGATGTATGAGTCTTAACTCCGCCATGGCCGGTCCCAAGCCCGGATGAGAAAGGAGGAGGGTTGGAGACCGTGGCAAGTCT